TCATCATCATCATCATCATCATCATCATCATGATCGTCGCTGCCGTCGTTGTCGTAAGCATCGTCGTCGGCATCATCATCACAAATGTCACCACGTCATCGGCATCGTCATCCCATCCATGCGGAGGGCCTCCAAGACCTCCGACGGCGCTCAATGATCCGATCGCTGCTCTGTGCAGATGGTTTTTGATCACTGTCGTTTTCATCATCATCATCATCATCATCATCATCATCATCATCATCATCATCATCATCATCATCATCATCATCATCATCATCATCGTCGTCGTCATCATCATCATCACTCTAACCCCTCCTTCCCACCTCCCTTTTCCCTTCCCCTCCGTCCTCCTCCCCCCAACCCGCACCCCGAGCCTGCTTTCATCCTTTCCCCCGCTCCCCAACGAACCACCAGCGGGTTCGTGCCACAAGTACTTCCGCTCAGACGCAAATTACCCCGCGCGCTTGTATCTTCAGGCCACCCGGAGGAGCGTCAGTGACAAAGGAAGGTAGCATCATAGCGGCCACGGTTCACTTCATCCCCACTAATGCGTGCCCGTTCGTTTCGTTGTTTGTTCGGCGCTGTCGCCTGGGATAGGGATAGCGGAAATGGGCCCTCGTAGTTGCATATGGTATTGCTCCCACTTGCCGCCTGGGAGGGCCTACGGCGAGCACGACGATGACGACGACGATGACAATGACGAGGGGGTAGGATGAGGTAAGAGGGAGTAGGAGGATACGGATAGATGTAGAGGTAGGAGGAAGTAGGAGAAGGCAGGAATTTGTAGGAGGAGATAATTCGGATGAGGGGACAGGAAAAGGCAGGGAAGGCTCGGAAGAGGTAATTAGGAGGGGGCAGGAGAAGAGGAGGACGAAGGGAGGGGGAGAGGAGGCAGAACCAGAAAGGAGGCGGAGCAGCGAGAAATGATTATGCAAGACGGGGGGACATGCGGGGACGAAGGAAGGTGTTGACAACGGGCGCCCGAAGTCACACTCAGTTTCCCCTGAATTCCCCCAGTTTCTTGCATCGGGAGGAGAAAAAAAAACTGAGGTTAACTGGGTTAATGAGGGGGCGAAGGAAGGTGTTGACAACGGGGCGCCCGCTGTTACACTCAGATTAACCCCAGTTTCCGCCTCAGTTTCTTGCATCAGGGGATAACGCAGTTAACTGGGGTGAACAGAGGCTAACATATGGTAATTGAGCTTCACGGTGGCTCACTGTGGTTATCTGAAGTGAACTGAGGTGAACTGAGGTTACTGAGGTTAACTGAGGTTAACTGAGGTTGACTGAGGTTACTGAGGGTAACTGAGGCTAACTGAGGTAACTGAGGTTACTGAGGTTAACTGAGGTTATTGAGGTGAACTGAGGTTACTGAGGTGAACTGAGGTTACTGAGGTGAACTGAGGTTACTGAGGTTAACTGAGGTGAACTGAGGTTACTGAGGTTACTGAGGTGAACTGAGGTTACTGAGGCCGTCTACGGCCGACGCCGCGCGCGGCCACAATGAACAAAACAATCGCGACCGGCCGCAATGACCGCCTCTTCATTCGCATCTTCCGAAATAGCGAATCGCATCCCTTTAATGGAGGCGCCAGGACTTGTCCTGCCGCTATCGCCTGGGGCCAACCGAGCGCGCGCGTTCCTGTAGACGACGACGTGAAGACTAGGTGGTGGGTTGTGGGTTCATGAGCTGCTTAATCCGTGATGTATTGGCTGGCGGTATGTTCGTTGGTTGGATGATTGGTTGATTGATGTGTGTTGGCGGCGACCATGCCGATGGTGCAATGCCCTATGTTGCACGGGCCCGCGGCCCCGCGGTCCCGCGGCCCACGCCTAACGCGCAAGAGCTCTAGTTAAATGTTTTAGACGGAGATTTAAACTATGATTTTCGCGCGCCGCGGCAGATACGCGCATTTCATATGCATCATTAGGAGGTTGGCGGCTGGAGTTGGTGATCCGCGCGGCCCCGTCCAATTGGCTACCGACGCATCAACGAGCGCGCGGGTCGCGCTGGTTCTGCTCCTGCGCGGCGCAACGCTGAAGGCGGATACACGCCAGCTTCGCGCAAGGGGCCGCGCGGCATAGCGTTGCGGCGTGCGCCGAGGCCGGCGTCGGCGCAGAGTTGCCGATCATTGCAGGGCTAGACCACGTGTTCATCACACGCAGCCCTTGCGCGAAACCCGAGGACGACAAGTTACTCCTGTTGGGTTCTGTTGCGACGCCGGGCGGGCCGCGGGAATCAGCAAGCCGCGAGCCTGCAAGTCTATCGGCGCGGCGGCGCGGCCAGCCGACTACCCACCCATACTTGAAAACCATGCATTCATGGAAGGGCGGGTGCGCAATCTTGCGCGGCGCAGCGACAGGCAGGCGGTCCGCGCGCGTCGATTTTGACCCCGTCGTGAAGAGGAGGAGCGGACCTCCGAAGAGAGCCCGCCTCCGAATCACTTCGCAGAAGCGACCATCCCCGCGGGTGGGATTCCAACAAGTCGCCCCTTAGGTACGGGCTGATCGGCAGAGACCTGCCAGGGCTGAGGCTAATCCCTCGTCTCGCGCAAGCCAACCAGCCGCGGCCCCGCAGAAAGCGGGCGCGCGGCTGGCATGGCCTTCACACATTCTCAGATCGTGAATCGGGTAGCCCAGCAGCCCGGGCGTCGGGCAGGCCGCCGACAAACGCGACGGCATGATCGGCAATGGCGAAGCGGAAGCGGAGGAGGGCCCCGCGAGTCCCGCGGAGGGCGAAGAGGGCATCGGGGAAGCCGAGCGCGCTTCGACGTCGCAGACTTCCAGGCTCCTTCCTTCCATCCCCCATCCTCATCCCGTCCCTCCCCCCCTCCCTCCCCCTCCCCCCCCTCCCCCTCCCCCTCCCCCTCCCCCTCCCCCTCCCCCTTTTTTGTTCCTCCCTCCTCTTCCTCGTCCACCTCCCCGTGCAGCGTTTTCCTACTGTGGCGCTCCGTTCGGCCCCCCTCCCTCCACCTCCTCTCCCCCCCCCCCCTCCCCATCCCCCATCCCCTCCCATTGATGAAGCGCGGCGGCGCTCGCCGCTGCTGTCACGCGCGCGGAACGCGACTAGCCATTGGCCCGAATCCAGGATCGCGGCCGCGCGAAGTGCGGCCCTGCGGGAGCCGGGCGGAGCTGCGGCCCGCGCCGGTCGCAGATTTGGCCGCGCGGCGCGGCGGCGCGGCGGTGCTCCGCGGCAGCCGCGGGAAGACGCCCTCGCCGCCGTTCGCGCTCGGCCGCACTCTGCGAGCACGAGCTGGGTCGCGAAGTGACGTGCCTACCTACCCAGACGGCAAAACTTGTCTTCGCTTGTCCAGCGGTTGCAGCGCGACTGCTCGCTGGCAGCCCATGGGGTCCATCGGCGCATTTAGGGGGCCCATCGACGCACATCGGGGGCCATAGAAGCCGGCCCGCATTGCTCTTCGATGGGGAAGGAAGGGGGAAGGGGGGAGGCGAAGCTGGCAGACGCGGGGAAGCCCTTCCCGCGCGGGGCCCCTGCCGATGCCAAGGGCCAAGGGCCAAGGGCAGGGCCCGCGCCCCATGGGCCTCCGCGGCGACGACCAAGGCACACCGCCGCAGGCCGCGGCCGCGGGCAGATTGTTGGAGGCCCCCGCGCGGTGGCACGGTCGCGGCCTGCGGCCCGCAGCGGCGACGACAGCTGGGGCCAGCGCAGCCTCCCCGCCCTGGGACGGCAGCGAAGGAAACTCGAGCGCGCTCGCATCCCGTCGCCCCGCCCGCAAGGACGGGGCCCCGCCCCTCTTTCGCTCGTAGCCTATAAATGTAGCCCAAGGCCCTCCACCCAGCGGGACCAAAGCCATAGCGCTCCACCCATGGGCCCATGGGACCCCGCCCACCGTCCACCCATTGGGCATGGGCTTCCGAAATGGGATCCGCCGATAAGGACTCACCCATGCGGCCCCGCCAACCTGGCCCCGCCCATAAGGCGCCGCCCACGTGGGTTTCACCGCCGCACGCGGGGCCCCCCTCAAGAGGCTTAGCCCATGCGGCCCCACCGCCCCACCCAGGGTGCCCCACAGCGGCGCCGCCCCGTGGCCCATGGATTACACCCTGTCGGACGCGCCCAGTGCCCCATCGGCGCAACAGAGAAGTTATTGCATCTGCCCCATCCCCCATCCCATTGATCGCCCCCTCGTCTCTTGAATTGAGTTCCAGGGGTTGCACGCCGTGGATTGCGCCCCACCTGTCGCACTTCATGCGTTGCAGCCAGGAGGCTACATTCCACGCGTTGCGCTATTGGTTATGATCTTGCCGTTGGCCATGGCCCAAGCTTGAGTTTCTAGATATCGCGTTTGGTATTCGTCGTTCGTCATTCGCCCCCCTGCTGCAGCACTAAACTTAAATTGCGCACGAATGTTATTTCATTCGCCCTGCGGTCTTGCCGTGCGCGCGCAACAAAGGATATAGTTCATGTTGCGAGTGCCACTGCTAGCCATGCACATGTATAAATTACTATATACCGTTCGCGCTCATTACTAGCCCTAGCCGTGCACACGTGTCACGCACATGCCATACATGTATATTCATACACATATACATGTATATATATATATATATACATATATAGACACATATGTATACATATATATATATATATATATATTGCTCCATACCCTTTCCACCCACCCCCGCCCTCGCCTAGGTCCCATCACATCCCGTGGTCGTCCCGCCTCCCCCCGTCCCCGCTCGTTTCTTCCCTCTTCCCTCTCCCCTTCCTCCTCGCCCCTCCCTCCCTTTCCCGTTCGTAGTTCTCAGTCGTTATCTTCCTGCGGCAATTGTGTACTGCCGTTTGTTCTAGCATCGGACTGTTGTCTGTGCCACGGACACGAGATTCGCCCGATGTGTCGCTATGATTGTCGGGAACAGCCGCTGTTCGAGGTCAGGATTTCGTAGCGCGATCTTGCTTCAGGCTTGAGAGAACGCGACCAGTTTCCAAGCCCCCCCCAGACTTTCGCCACTGCCACCTGCCAGCCTGGCCGTGCGCCATGGCGGGGAATTGGGAGGAGATGTTTGGTTTCGGGGAGGCTTCTCCTGCTGACAAAGGGGCCTCGGCTTCTGGTCTCGGCGCTGGCACGCCGAGGGGTAAGACCAAAGCAGGAGGGGAGCAGCAGCAGTTAACTCCGACGGGATCCAGGTTGGCCAAAGGTTCTCGCCGGGCCAGAAAGAGAAGCCAAGACGGCGAGACAGGCGGTGGCGATGTGGACCCTGGGGAGCAGCCGGCGGGGTTCTCGGCAGCCCCCCCAGGGGAGGAAGGGCACCAGAGGACCGGAGGGGAGGGAGAGGGAGTGTGGGGAGGGGAGGAACGCAGGGGATGATGGAGGGGAGGGGAGGAAGGAGGGGGGGGAGGGAGGATATCTGCGGCAGACCAGTCGTTGGTAGGCAGTCAGGCAGGCAGGCTTTGGGATAAGGATGGGAAGTGGGAATCTCCCCAGAGCCCCCCCATAGCGTTCCGCGGCGCTTTGGAACTGCCGCGGTGCACGATACGTTCTCCAGACCCACTGGCTCCCAGAGATTCCCAAAGTATCCTCATCATGATTTGTCCTCATACTGGCTTCGTTTTACATCAGTGGACGACCCGTGAGGAGAAAAACGACCGTCGTGGAGATGAGGGCGAGAGCTTCATGCCCCGAGCCATGAATAAACGTCGCGACGTCGGAGGTCTGGGACTAACTGCCGCTACCCTCTCGTGGTGTTTCCACTTCCCTCGCAGCATCTCACCTTCCCCTCCCTGTGCGGACCACCCCCTCTGCAGCAGTCGTATAACGATGAGAAATACTGCTCGAAGAAAGCTTGGAGCGTAATCTTCGTCCACTTTTGAGGGCCCCGCCCTGTTTGGAGGAGACCCTCTTTGAGTCAGACATCGTTGAAGGAATCATGCTGCAACCGTGGATAAGGCGATTCGGTTATCCATTGCAGCGGCCGCTGGTTGCACTTGTGATCTCTACCGTTGATAGAGTTCGACTAGACAGTGCTGTTCGATCATCCTCCCATGGCCCCTGGCCCCCACTGGCCTTTGTACACCTGGTCCCCCACTAGCAAAATTACACCCTTGCGGCAGAAGACCCTCAACAACTTCACACAATCACGATCGGGGGCCACGATGGGGTGATATAAATAAGAATATGTATTGAAGGAGCCGGGATAAGGCCGAAGGGATACGGAGGCAGAAATAGATGTATAGGACCGAAAAGAGAGGGATAATGATAGGGACAAACAGGGATAGGGATTAGGTATGGAGATTGGGATTCGGTCAGTGGACATAAGGGTGGGGGATCGGGAAGGATAGGGACAATGAATATGGGGGCACGGGGTATGAGGGTACGGGTATAGAGGTGTAGGGATAGCGATGGGGATGCAAGGAGAGCGGTCGGGAGTTGGTCCTAGGGATCGGACTCAGGGATAGGGAGGGTTTGGAGGGGGCCAATATGGGAGGCCACGATGGGTGGCAACGATGGGGGCAACGATGGTCCACCGATCTCAGGGGCCTTGCACCTCTCACAGGGCATGAGAAAACGCATATAGAACCCCTCCACACAAGCTGTTTAGGGAATGAGAGGCCCTTGCATCGAACATCATCACATGTTCGACTTCGTCAATTGTTCACTGACTCACCGTAGCCGTTTTGGCTTGTTTCGCTGGCAGGTTGTGTGTACTGTGTGCGTGTGCGGCACCCCAGATTCAGATCAGAACGGTGGATTCGTTTATCTATTTCTCGTGGGCATGGTCTTGCGTAGGCCTGCGGCTGCGAGTTCCGGTTCCAATCCCCAGGTCAAGAGGCAGGCCAGGACTACGATCAAGAGGATCAAGTGCAGGCGATTCATTGGAAAGGGGCCAGCAGTTCGGCCTGACAGAACTTCGAGACGCATTCCCTTCGATGCCAATGCGCCGATCGACCACCTCATTGGCCACTTAACGGACGAGCAACGACGTGATGTCAAAGAGTTCCTGTGCAGTAGTAAGCTGACTACAGTATCAGATTACAGCGGCTCTGGCCAACCTGAAGTAGTGATCCACCGATTGGCGACGCTGGTAGGCGCCAAGGAGGATCCAGAGTCGGACTGCATCACGTGCTTCAGAGCCTGCGACGTCCAACAGCATTGCAGGCGAGTGCTCTGCGACTTGGTGGAGGCTCCAGGCATGTGTGTGCAGACAGATATGTGCGACAGGCTTCCTTCAGAAGTAAGCGACTTGCTCAACAAGTTAATACGCCGATACCAGAAAAAAGTACATCAAAGCCACGACGGGGGCAGGCAAAAAACATCACCCGAACCTCAAGAAAACACTTGGCGACCGATTCGTGGACGAAGCCACTACCATCCTGAAAGAAAACATGGGAAAATTCGATCCTGATCTGACTGCCCCGTGTGCCAAGCACGCGACGGAGTGTCGTGTGTACCCACCTCTTGGTCACGCGTGTCTTCTCATTGCTGGTATATCTTGCTTGGACTGGAGCGCCGCAGGGGCGCAGTGGGGTACATTTGGAAAAGGCGCCAAAGCATGGCTGACACTTATGTGGGATATTCTCCACAACGCTGGGAGATTGTACAAAGCTGCCATATTAGAGTGCACGCAGAACTACAACCCGAACCATATTGAAAAAGTGTTGGCCAGTATTGGTGGGACAGTCGATTCGGTCGTGTTCAGCCCTCATCACATCGGGGCGCCGTGCATGCGGCATCGGAAATACATGGTTGTTACGTTTACAGGTGGCTGGCAGTGGAAAGATGAAAGCACCAGACTCTGCAAGAGCAATTGTTTGAAAATGTTCGGAGCAGGCATCAATCCGTCACTCACTGGATCCATATATCTAGATCAGACCCCGAAGGACCACATCCGAGAACACATCGAGCGCATGGCTAAAAGCTCTCACATGCCAATCCGGGACGGCAATGGAAAAAGGTGGAGGATGTTCGACGTCATGAACAGATCCGATAGGGCCCAGGTCCTTAGGCACAAGGAAACCTTGATGGAGAGAGGATTTTCAGAAGATGCCGACGTGTTTACCACGGCATGCCAAACGGTCAAGAGAGGTACGATGTCGGCAAATGTGCCAGCATTGTTGCAGAAATCAAAAGTGTTCTCTTGGCGGCATCAGCGATTCTTACTTCCATATGAGCATTGCACTGTCATGGGAATCAAGTGGCGTGAGTCGATCAGCAATTTATCAGATAGGAGGATCAAGAGCCTTGCTGGCAACGCCATGCAAAGTACGGCCATTGCATCCATATTATTATACGTGCTTGTGTTCTTAGAGCAGCCATCGGCTGTGCAGCAGTAGCGTTTTTGTTGCGGCATGCAGTATGTTGCGATGTGGTTTATCATGGACAAAAACATGTGGCGCCAATCCCCTCACCATCCCATTGACCCCATCTTGTGCTTCTAGAGTCGCTAACATCACTGCACAAGCTGAGGCAACCAAGAAGTGCAACAGCCTGTGCCAAAAGGTCAAGCCCCTCTGCTCTTTCTACTCCGATCAGAATTCATGCAAGGACTGCTTCTCCGAGGAGAAGAAGTTGAAGAACCGAGCGGGAGCACAGGGCGTTGCAGAGTGGGCTAGCACGTTGAAAAAGGATGACCCCAAAGCCTACGAGAAGCTCTTCAGAACGTTTTCGGCCCACGTGAAATCTGGAAAAGATGGCAAGCTGTTCAACGTATTGCAATGGAAACAGCAGTGGGTTAGCCGGTCAGGTACCAGAGGTGCTGCGCGCTTCAAGCGCATGTGGGAGGGTGAGTTCTACGAGTTCAAAGCGACGACGGCCCAGGGCAACATGACCCGCGAGCAGGCGGAGATCGAGTGGAAGGAGATGTTGGCCGACCCTTCGAAGAAGAAGGATAAGCTCGGTCCCAAGGGCATGACCCGCATCAAGATCAAGCTGGGCGACTACGAGAGCGACTTCGACGAGGACATGGAGGAGGACGTGGTCGTCGCTGAGGTCGCCGCCAAGAAGAGGGCTACCAAGGAGCAGGTGGCCCAGATGGTCACTCGAGTTCAGTCGGGAGCTGCTGGTTCGGCTTTCCATGACGATGAGGACTTACGAGGAAGGGAGAGGAGGAGGAGGAGGAGGAGGAGGAGGAGGAGGAGGAGGAGGAGGAGGAGGAGGAGGGAGGAGGAGGAGGAGGAGGAGGAGAAAGAGGAGGAGGGGAAACATGTAGTTAGAGAAAAGGGGGCCCTAAACAAACAAACTGTTATGAGGTCCTGCATGTTTGAGCTCTCGGCGGCTCAAGGCGCCCACGGAGGGCCCCCGAACGGCCCCAGTGATCCCCGAGAGATGCCTAAGACGGTCCCGAAGGACCCCTCCACAGCCCCCAGGCCCCCAAGTGGGCCCCAGGAGCGGCCACGCAGAAGCCGACCCCGCCAACCAAGCCCTAAGAAACTTCCAAGATAACCCCTCCGTTCTCCCCCTCCGGGTCCGACATCTGGGCAGCGACCTGAGGAGGGTGAGGAGAGGACCTCCCCCTCCTCAGGTGCCTTCTCAGATGTCGGATTGTTTGACCTTGTAGCCCTTAGCCCTCAGGAGAATATGGACGCGTCCCGTGATTCCAGGAGGCGCAGGCTTGAAGATGCTATGGTTTCTGCGGGTTATGGCAACATGAAAACGAAGCTGGGGGTCATGAGCGATGCCGATCTCGCGTCTATGGCTAAAGGCTCCGACCCCAACGCCGACCAGGCTGCCGACGAGATCTCGGACGACAGCGGCGAGGGCCCCCCAGAGGAGAAGGTCGAGACCAAACCTGATGAGAGCAAGAGGATGGATTTGGAGGTGTTCCGCAACAAGGCGGGCAGCCTCAAATTCCCCTTCCCTTGATGTCAGATCCCAATGGTCCCAAGTTTGATGTCTAAACCATATCCTCCTCCTCCTCCTCCTCCTCCTCCCTCCCTCCCTCCCTCCCTCCCTCCCTCCCTCCTTCGGCCACGCCCTCTTCCCACTCCGCCTCCTTTTCAACTTCCTTGTTCAGAAGTCCGCCAGCGGACTTCTGCTCATGGGGATGCCCCCATCATCCTCTGCCTCCTCCTCGTTCTCCTCCTTCTCCTCCTCCCGGTGGCCCGGTCCTTGGAGAAGTCGTGGGCGAAGGTCGATGCTTCCATCACGAAGGAGAGACTCAACTTAGAAGCAGCTCTGCTTGACTTCAGCAGCGCTGGGGAGCAGAAGACGTTCGCCCGGGAGCTGGCCGTGGCGAAGAGCCGCGGCAAGGCGTTGGCACTGGTGTCGGGTACTTCGGACAGTGAGCTACACGAATACATCAAGTCGTTTGCTACTGCAAGTGATGACGCGTCGACGGCTGCGGGTGTGGGCTTCGCAGATGATAATGCCAGGATTGCCGCTGCTCCGCCGTGTTTCGGGTATGAGAACTTGCTCACGATGAGATCGCTCAAAGAGAAGACATCCATCCCAGCGTCCCTCATTACCGAGAAGGATATCAACGAGTTTGACGCATCAGTGCATGTTCATTTCAAATCAGGTTTGGAGCTCGGGAAGTCGGTTGCGAAAGCAGTATCCGAGCTGTACTCTGCCCGGGTCACGGCGAGGACGGAGCAGAACAAGAGAAAGATGGCGGAGGAGAAGGAGGCAATCAAACGGTCTAAACGGATGGGCAGTGCACAGCAATCAGGTGGGCATTCGCAGCAGCAGCAGCAGCAGCCCGACACGAACCCGTTCTGGAAGTGGACCCCCCAGCCAGAGAACCGCATCAAGACGGTCGAAGCTTGTGAGTTTAAAGATATTGGCATTGCAGACTTGATGAAGCCAATCATTGTTGGCAAAACTACATTGGCGGACTTGTACAGCAATGATAACGACCTCAAGAAGGAAGTCAACGACCAGCTCCAAGGCTTGCATATTTGGGGGTACTTTTCATTCTTCGTCCAAGATCCGCCCGTAGGGTTGTAGAGGACGATCAATGGAGAGGAAGCATGTTGCCAAACAATTTCCAGATGTCCTCCTCCTCCTTCTCCTCCTCCTCCTCATCCTCATCCTCATCCTCATCCTCATCCTCATCCTCCGCCTCATCCTCCCCCTCCGCCTCCGCCTCCTCCTCCTCCTCATCCTCCTCGCCCCCCCTCCCCCACTGCCACCTCCGAGGCGGCTGCGGGCGCCGAGCTCAAGCAGGCGACGGTGGAGAGCGCCACGGCGCTATTCGAGTCCACCTTGGGCGGCAAGATTGACGACGAGGCGCGGCTGTCCTTGTCCTCCTTCTCCGCCTCCTCCTCCTCCTCCTCCTCCTCCTCCTCCTCCGTCCTCCTCCTCCTCCTCCTCCTCCTCCCTCCTCCTGCCTCCCGCCTCCTCCTCCTCCTCCTCCCCTCCTCCTCCGCCTCCTTCCTCCTCTCTCACTCCTCTTCCCTCCTCCTGCTCCTCCTCCTCCTCCTCTTCCTCCTCCTCCTCTTCCCGTCCTTCTCCTCCCTCCTCCTCAATCCTCCCCCTCCTCCTCCACCTCCTCCTCCTCCTCCCGCTCCTCCTCCTCCTCCTCCTCCTCCCCCTCCTCCTCCTCCCCTCCTCCCCCCTCCTCCTCTTCCTCCTCCTCCTCCTCCTCTTCCTCCTCCTCCTCCCTTCTCCCGCTCCCTCCTCCTCCTCTCCTCCTCATCCTCCTCCCCCCTCCTTCTCCTCCTCCTCCTCCTCCTCCTCCTCTTCCTCCTGCTCCTCCTCTTCCTCCTCCTCCTCTTCCTCCTCCTCCTCCTCCTGCTCCTCCCCTTCCGCGGGCACAGCCCCCACGCCCCCCTGGGGCGAGAGGGCCGAGGCTTATGATGTTCCAGCCTACTTTAGCCTTGATCGCCAGAGAGAATTTCGAGCACGAAGCAAAAAGTACCCCCAAAAACTCGAGGGTTTCCGCGTGTCGGGCCCTGGGAGACACTCGCCCGACACTGTTTCGACACTCTTTTGACACTTCCCCGGGTGCTCTAAATCAGTTCTGGGATGTGGTCCTTAAGTACGATGGGAGCAACATGAGACGAGGCGCGGCTGTCCTTGTCGTACGTCGCTGCCCTGGCTGCCGCCGCCACCAACATGCGCTCATACGACGCGGCGGCCTGGAAGACGAGCATTGCCATCTGTGCCCCGTATGGCGACGCGATCGACGACATCCGCGTCAAGATGGAGCTCGCGTCGAAGCCCGCGGAGGAGGTCGAGGAGGAGGACACAGAGGGCGTGGATCTGTACAAGGGCGCCTTCTCCCTTGCATACGGTACTCTGACCCTGCTGCGCGATGCTAAAATGCACCTGAAGCGCGATCGTTTCTATGGGCTTCTCGGCCCCAATCAGTGCGGCAAGACGACTCTCATGCGTGCCATCGCCAACGAACAGCTCGAAGGCTTCCCCAAGCGCGATGAACTTAAATCCATGTTCGTGGAGCACGAGATCGAGGATGAGGAGGTGGGAGTACAGGACGACGGCTTCCCGATTCTGAGTGTGGACAAGCCGGGCTGGTGGTGGGTCATGCACACGTGCAACAACATCTACAAGATGGCGAACCCCATGACTGAGGAGACGGCGAAGGAGGTCATGAAAGTCACTGGCTTCGGCTACCCTGGCGGCCCAGACCGCGCTGCCCACCTGGACAACCCCGTCACATCCTACTCTGGTGGATGGAAGATGAAGATGCAGCTCTGCGCAGCGCAGCTGATGAACGCGGACGTGCTTATGCTTGACGAGCCCACTGGACATTTGGATGTTGACAACATCAAGTGGCTCGAGGATTGGCTGGAGTCCTTCCCTGGCAGCATCATCTGCACGTCGCACTTCTCCCCCTTCCTCGACAAGATGTGCACCCACATCATCGACTTCCAAGACCGCAAGCTGAAGACGTTCAAGGGCACCAAGGGCCGGACCCTGACGCAGTTCGTCGAGAAGTATCCCGAGAAAAAGTCCTACTTCGAGCTCAGCAACGAGATCATGAAGTTCGTCTTCCCGGAGCCCGGGGCCATGGAGGGCGTGAAGAGCCGAAGCAAGGTGATCCTGAGGATGGACAAGGTCACCTTCCAGTACCCCACCAAGGACAAGCCCACCATCATGGACGTCAGTCTGACCGTCTCGCAGGTCAGCCGCGTGGCCGTGATCGGCGCCAACGGCGCGGGCAAGTCCACCGCCATCAAGGTCCTTGTCGGCGAGCAGAAGCCCACGGAGGGCACCATCTGGAAGGCCTCCGGCCTGCGCATGGCCTACGTCGCGCAGCACGCCTTCCACCATCTGGAGAAGCACATGCAAGAGACGCCGACGCAGTACTTCATGTGGCGCTTCGCAGGCAACGACGACAAGGAGAGCCTGGAGTTCAAGAGCACCGAGCTGTCTGTGGACGAGGAGAAGGCCAGGGCGACGAAGTGGTGCATCGATTCGACCTCTGGCAACGTCAGGAGGTGCACTGACCCCAAGGAAGACGCCAAGAAGGCCAAGGTCGACGAGGCGGGCGCGGTGGTCCCCGACGCGTGCGTGAACCGCCGCCAGAAGAAGAAGGAGAAGACCTACGAGTACGAGGTGAAGTGGCAGTTCAAGGCCATGGACCAGACCACGTGGGTGGAGAAGGACATCCTGATAAAGATGGGCTACCTGAAGATGGTGCAGCGCGAGGACGAGAGGCAGGCGGCCATGGCCGGGCTCATGACCAAGCAGCTCACCCAGCCCTCCGTGGAGAAGCATCTCGGCGACTTCGGTGTGGACCCCGAGTCCGCCTCCCACACCCAGATCAACCAGCTCAGCGGCGGCATGAAGGTCAATCTCGCAATGCATTCTGTGTATACATATAACGGCGCACCGGGTCCGGGGGCCCGGGGCCGGGACCTCTACCACAAATGTGCGCCCCGGGGGGCCCGGAGGCTCGTCGGGGCTTGCCGGAGGCCTCCCCAGTCAGACAAGACGGCCCAAGAAGCGCCCAAGACGGCCCAAGAAACTTCCAAGAGGCCTCCAAGAGGGCTCCGAGATGCTGAAGATGGCCTCCAGACGTCCAAGGAGGCCTCCAAGAGGCCCCAAGAAGCCTCCAACATGCGTCCCAAGAGGGCCCCTAGACGCAAAAGTTGGCCCATTCCCTTCGTAAAACGTACATGTTCAACAAAGTTGCCTTTTGGGCTTTCCGACGTTACAGGACGGCCCAAGAGGCGCCCAAGACCGCCCCAAGACGGCCCAAGAAGCTTCCAAGAGGGCCCCAGGACACCCCAAGAGGGCCCCAAGACGGCCCAAGAGGCGCCCAAGATGGCCCAAGAGGGCCCCAAGACGGGCCCAAGAGGGGGCCCAGAGGAGGACCACGAACCGCAAGCTCGAGCCTTCCGCCCCACGAGGCCGCCAGGAGGCCCCCAGGAGGCCCCTCAAGAGGCCCCGGGAGACCCCAGACGTCCAAGGACGCCCCCAAGAGGCTCCAAGAAGCCTCCAACATGCGTCCCAAGAGGGCCCCTAGACGCAAAAATTGGCCCATTCCCTTCGTAAAACGTACATTTTTCACAAAGTTGCCTTTTGGGCTTTCCGACGTTACAGGACGGCCCAAGAGGCGCCCAAGACCGCCCCAAGACCGCCCAAGAAGTTTCCCAGAGGGCCCCAGGACAGCCCAAGAGGGCCCCAAAACGGCCCAAGAGGCGCCCAAGATGGCCCAAGAGGGCCCCAAGACGGGCCCAAGAGGGGGCCCAGAGGGGGACCACGAACCGCAAGCTCGAGCCTTCCGCCCCAAGAGGCCGCCAGGATGCCCCCAGGAGGCCCCTCAAGAGGCCCCAGGAGACCCCAGACGTCCAAGGACGCCCCCAAAACGCCCCAAGAAGCCTCCAACATGCGCCCCAAGAGGGCCCCTAGACGCAAAAATTGGCCCATTCCCTTCGTAAAACGTACATGTTTCACAAAGTTGCCTTTTGGGCTTTCCGACGTTACAGGACGGCCCAAGAGGCGCCCAAGACCGCCCCAAGACGGCCCAAGAAGCTTCCAAGAGGGCCCCAGGACAGCCCAATAGGGCCCCAAGACGGCCCAAGAGGCGCCCAAGATGACCCAAGAGGGCCCCAAGACGGGCCCAAGAGGGGGCCCAGAGGGGGACCACGAACCGCAAGCTCGAGCCTTCCGCCCCAAGAGGCCGCCAGGAGGCCCCAGGGAGGCCCCTCAAGAGGCCCCAGGAGACCCCCAAGAGGCCCAAAGGAGGCCCCGAGAAGCCCCAAATCGGCCCCCCAAATGCTTCGAACCTGCTTCCAGGAGGCCCCCGACAGGTTCAGAGGCTCCCAAGAAGCTCCGTCAAACTCCCAGCGAGCGGCCGGACGAGGCCCCCCAAAAAATCCCAAGAGGGTTCCAGTATTTGTATCCTTCAGCGCTCTCTGGCCTTCTTCCCCCTGCCCCGCTCCCTGCGACTTTCGTTGACTCAAGCTCGCCTCCTCTCCATTTCCTCTCTCTGCCTCTCTCTATCTCTGTGTCTTTTTTTTATTTCTCTCTCTCTCTCTCTCTCTCTCCATCTCTCTTTCTCTCTCTCTCTCTCTCCTTCGCTCTCTGTCTGTCTGTCTCTCTCTCCCTCTCTTTCTCTCTTTCTCTCTCTTCCTTTCACATTCTGTGTCCTTGCGACCTTCTGCAGTCCCCGACGTCGCCATGGCTGGATCCGCTCGAGCGTGTCTTGTGATGTGCGGCGGTGCGAAGCCCGTCCCACTGATCAAGGCACAGGTACGAAATGATGGGTCCATCATTTCTTGCCTTCCCAGGTGCGTTTTCCCAATCGATTCCTGGGCCCGAGGTCGCAAAAATTACGACGTCGGAGGTCTGGGGAGGCGGGAAGCACGACCTGGACCTCCGACGTCTTGGAAAAATCACGACGGCGGTTTTTCTTAATTTTCGGCCGCCGGGGCCCCTCGCAGGTTCCCGGGACCGTCAGAAAACGACTCAGGATGAAAACGAATTGGGCTACAGGGCTATTGGGCTACAGGGCTATAGGGCTGTAGGGCTATAGGGCTATAGGGCTAGGGCCATAGGGCTATAGGGCTATGTGGGCTATTCGGCTATTGGGCTATAGGGTTGTTGGGCTGTAGAGCTATGGGGCTATAGGGCTACAGGGCTATAGGATCAGAGGGCTATAGAGCTAAAGGGCTAGATGGATATAGGGATATAGGGCTATTGGGCTATAGTCCTATAGGGCTATACGGCTATAGGGCTATAGGGCTACAGGGCTATAGGGCGATAGGGCACCCCCAGGCACCCCGGCACCCGGGCACCGGGCACCCAGGCACCCAGGCACCGGGCACCCGGGCACCCGGGCACCCGGGCACCCGGCCCGGCCGCATGGGGCCGGAATTTTGCCGAACCTCATCGAACCTTTTAATCCGCAGGACCCTTACAGAGGCAAGCTCTGATTGGGTACTAACCCATGGCAACCGCCGCTACCTTCGTCGCCGCGATCGCCGCCGTCTTCATCGCCGCCGTCGTCGACGTCCTCGGGTTCTGTTCGGGCACCCTCTGGCCATCTCGTGGGGCACGCTGGGGGATTATCAGAGGCATTCGTAAGTATTCTGAGGGGCCCCGCGACTTCCCCCAGAGACTCTAACTACAGAAACTCCTTTCATATTCCGGCCAGAAGCCGGCCCACCCGTCGATGTAGTGAAGAAGTAGTCCTGGAGGTTCCGGGGGGTGTGGCGTATACAGAGTCTCGGAGTCG